GGAGAGAAGGGAAGCAGAAAACATTAATACAACAGACCAAAGAAAACAAACCCACAACCAAATCAGTGTCACTGGCACAGAAGTTTCTCCAACTTTGTAAAGTTTGCATTGGGCTTTGTATTAGAACTTATCTTCAGAAACCCACTCAAGCAACACCCAGAAGTGTCCCACTTTGGCTACAGTCAACACAATTTCAGAACGAGCAAACTCCAATGGGCAAGAGACCGACTAACTGATGGGAAGTAAAGGGAATTGTTTTTCAATGCTTTTTAGTTTCAGGGAATAACAGGAAAGCTTAGAGGCAAACACACTTACAGCAGATAACCTTGCAGATCTTCTCTGTGGCTGTTTAAAAAAAAAGAAAAAGTTACAAATAGGGCACTGGGACTACTTAAAAGTACGTTTTTGAGCTAAGTTGTTCTGGACTCCAGGGACTACAGAGAGCTTACTGAGAGGTAAATTCAGGAATAAGGATATGGTCTGGGCTCCACTGAAGGAGCCCAAAGCTTTATGAGATTCCAAAAGTAGAAAGACTTACTTCGTCCTTCACCTTGGCTTTATCTCCTTTAGCATCCCCTTCAGCCTAAAAAGGAAAAAAAAAAAAAAACAAGCAAAAGCTAAGTAAGCTGCAGCTTCTGAAGCAATTCTTCATGATTCAGTAAACTCAAGTCGCGGGGATGTGGGGGTGGAAATCAATGGGAATCTCGTACACAACTTTTTCCAAGACACACAAATCGTCAGTTTGTAGCATCTCCAGCTCCTCTGCAAATCCTCCAAGTGCTCAGAAAGCTCTAGGAGTGATCTTGTGTGTCAAGCTGCACGCCCGAGCAGAGACGGCGAGTGTACGACCCCAGGCAGCCTGGGGAAGCGCGGGGAAACCTGGAGGGAGGCGCGCGAAGTGCGGCCCGCGCCGCCGCGCCAGGCAGAAGCAACAGCTGCACAGGGAGCAAACAAACCCCTTCGGGGGCGGGGCCCGAGCGCCGTTGCCATGGCAGCCGTCGAGGGCGGGAGACGGCAGGCGCACGCAGCCGAAGGGGGGGAACCCGTGGGCGGCAGCGGCGCGCACCGGCGCCGAGTCTCGTGCGCTGGGGCCGTGGGCGGTGCGCGGAGGAGGCGGGGCATCACCGAAGCCCCGCCCCAGGAGGGAGGGTCCCGCCCCCTCACGGCGACGGTTTTTTGGCGGTAGCGCGTTCCCCCCGCCCGCCAACCCTGAACGCCGCCTTCCCGCCCTTTCGGGTTTGAATTGCCCGCCCGCGGGGAAGGGACTGGAGGGGGGGTGGGGGGGAGAGCTAAGCCATGGGGGGAGGGGGGCGCGGGGCGGGCACGTCGAGCCCGAAGGGAGCGGGATAAACAGCCGCCAACATGGCTCCTCCCGCCGCGGCCGCCGCTCCTCCAATATGGCCTCTGGCGCCCGCGGGCAGACGAACCGCGCAGGGTAGCCCGGGGCCGCCTGACACCGCCTCGAGACGCTGCACCGGGCGGCTGAGCCTGCTCCAGCATCGCCGCCAGCTCGCGCGCCCCGAAGCCGAGGAGAGCGGCGGAGCAGCATTGGCGGTGGTGGTAGTGGTGGCGGCGGCGGCCCAGCGCCTGGGGCCCTTGCGCCACGTACCTTTCTCTTGGGCATGGTGGCTGCGGCGGCGGGACGTAGGCGCTGGACACGGGGATGCAGTGGCGCGCGGGCTTTAAGTCGGTCCAGGGGTCGCTCTCGCCTCTTCTTCACACTGCTCGGGCTCCGGGGGGTTTATAAAGTTTTTATAGCGCTGGGAGCCCCGGACCGGTTAGAACCGGATTTCACCTCCCGCCGCCGCTCATTGGCCCAGCTGGGGTCACGTGGGCGGGGTTTAAACTCACCTCCTCTGGAGGGAGTGAGGAGGGGGGCATGGGGGGTAGGGCGCGCGAGACGGCGGCGCGCCGAGGGGGTGGGGGCGCAGTGGGGGAGGCTCGCGTCGAAGGCAGTAAATGGGGGGGGGGGTTGTGGTGGTGGTGTGAGTCGGCGGGCTCTGGGTTTCGGCTCCCGCTAAGAGCTTGGCTTTTGCAAACTACCAAGTTCCTTCCACCTTATGCAACCGAGCTACCCACTTCTCCAAGCCGTGCGACACTTAGGGCGCATCTCAGCCGCTTTCCTTCCTGTTCCCGCTGGGGGCCCCAGAAAAGGGGTTTGCTAAGGCCTGGCCACACTGCCCTTCTCTGCCGGAGGCGGGAGGAAGCGCGCGGCTTGGAGGCACGGGCTGCAGTTACCAGGGCCGAGGCTGACGCCTGAATTGGGGAAAGAGCTGGGAAGCCAGCTTGGCGCAGCCGGACGTGCATCCTTCCAAGCTGCCACTCAGAGGAAGCCTTTCGTGCACCTCACCTGGAAGGCGGACCATTCGAGGTGGGGTGGGGGATCCAGGGGGGAGACTTCATGCGTAGAGGTGCCTTTCGGGTGCAGTGGGGCAGGTAGGAGCTGTCCTTTCAGCACCCGTTGCTCAGCCGCCTCCCCAAATACCAATGAAGCCCCCCCGCGGCCCCCCGAAGCCTGTTGGGCGGCTGGGCTCCCTTAGGTCCTTGTATTCCCGGACCTCAGAACCCCGCCACCGGATGATGGAGAGTGGCCGCCAAGGCGGCCTACTAGCACTCCCCTCCCCCTAAGCTCCACCCGCTTCGGAGACATCAAGCTCAGCTGCCCCCACCCGACGCGGCCACCAAGCCTGGGCGCTGCAAACGCAGCTGGCGAAATCCCTCCTTCCACACTGGCAGGCTGGCTTCCTTTCACTTGGGCGATGAAAAGGAGGGTGGAGGAAAGCGTCCAGGGATTAGGGAACAAGTAGAGGAACAGGTGTTGCGATGGCAAAAGGGCTCTTCCAGTGGCTCCCCCCGCTCCGCCCCCAAAGCCAGGGATCCTGGAAGTGGCCGAGTGGACCTGAGGGAGGTGGACAACTGCTGAAGCAAAACACGGTCTTCTGTTGCACTGTTCGCAAACAAGTTTTACCTCTAAGAAAGAATTATAAAAATTCTATTTGACATCCAAGAGAACACAACACGATAAATATCCTCAAGTGTGTGTGTGGGGGGGGCGGTTGGCTCACAGGTGGGAGGACATTTAAATAGGTCGCACCGAGTTTCTTGAGGCAAGGGTTGAGCTGGTTTGTACAAATCATACCGGTGGAAAGCAATCACAGTGATTTCGTATCAACTACTTGCAGCCCGGTTCGGGGAATCCGTGATCCCTCAGCTTTCCCCCCCCCCCCGCCCCCCCGTCCTGTGGCTCCCGAGGCAGCCACTCCTCGCCCCTCCCCCACCCTGTGTACCTCTCCCAGAACACAGGACCTCAGGACAGAGGTACTTGCCCATTAATCACCTCTGCGGTACCCAGACGAGAAACAAGGACTCAACCACCATGCTCATAGGGCAGATTCCGTTTGCTGCCTCCAGCCCCTCTTTCCCGCCTTAATTGTAGGGCTCTGCCGTTATAGCCGCATAATTCATGCCTCCCTAATTAAGGCTGTCAACAGCCTCATTGTAAAGCTGGAAAATGTACAGCACCTGCTCTCTGGGAACCCTGTGCCAGGGATTGGTAGTGGGGAGTGCCAGGTGTGTGTGAGGGATTTGCCAACGGGTGCACTGATTGGCTTTTCCATCGCAGTGTCTGGCATTCATGCCTGATTCTGGGAGCAGGGATGATGGCCAAGGGGTCTCTTGTGCCAGGTATCCAGGCACAGAAAGGGGAAGCGACTGGAATACAAGGAAGTAGGGGTTTCAAAGAATATGCTGTTAGCCACTTCTTGCAAGACCCCACCTCTCCCCTAGAGGGAGGTGCTGGGGAAATAGTTTGCAGAACGCAAAATGGGATTTTGGCTGGTATTGCCCACTGGTGCTTGCTGCCGTGGGGCGCCAGAAGCACGGAGTTGCTCACACAGACAGCTCTTCAGAGGCACTAATCCTCTCAGCAGCTCCGCAGCCAGGCCTGCCAGGGAGAGGTAAGGGGAAGGACACAGCCCTTGCCTTGGTCTTCTTCTCCCTGCTGGGCAACCTTGGCCCTCACAAGCTGAGACTCTGCCATGCTGAGACTAAATCATCTCACGGCCTGCTTATGGGGCCAGGTCAAAAGCTGAGAAAAGCCTCAAAGGCTGTGGAGGTGGGAAGCAGAGTCGGAGGCGCTGAGGGCAGGAGGCAGTCAGTTGGGAGAAGGGCTGGTTTCTGCGCTCTTGTTCCTCATGTGATCCATGGAAGGCGGCCTGTGCTAGATTAGACTCACCAGGGCCTACAAGCTCTTCTGTTACCCTGTGGCAATGGAGGGGGCAGTCTCACTGGGGAGTTGAGCCTGGCCCCATGCCCTGCAAGAGGAGGAGAAAAGCTTGTGTGGGCTGAGTCGACAATAGGTAATTGGATTGTAATCACCCGCCTGGCTTCCTCGCACCATTGGGGGTGCAGAGCCTTTCAGTGAGCAGTCAGCCTGGCGTGGTGGGAGGGGGTAGAGATTCAATAGCAAATCCCAGGTGGAGGGCCAAGGGGGAGGAGCAGCAGATGGGCAAATTTTCTGTCTCTCCCTTCCCTTTGCCTAAATCACGCTGGCCACCTATTAGGGCTTTACCAGCAAATCCACGGTGGGGCCGCATTTATTGTGATGGCTAAGATGGATGGGTAAAGGGCTAAGGTTTGGGGCAGACCTCTTCCCCCAAATTTTGTGTGTTGAAGGATGTGCTGGTGGAAAAACAAAGTGCACCTAGGAGTAACAGGTAGAGGTGGCAAAGATGGAAGAGCTGGGGCCCTCTGCTCCCCAAACCTACTGTGATCACAGCTAGGCTCAGTGTACTTGAGACTCACCCCCGTCCCTCTCCCCAGCGGCACTGTCCCAGGCCGCCCGTAGATATCTGGCCAGCAGACCTAGTCTCTGGGGCTCCCTTGCTAAGCCAAGGAACACAATCCATCATCAGGAGGGAAGTGCCTTTCACCAAGAAAAGAAAGGGGAGTGGGGCCCTGGAGGCCAAGGGTAGGGCAAAGTGGCAGGAGGCCAGCCTCACTCAGGCTGATGCAGTGCCCAGATGTGCCAGCCAGTCAGCCCGCTTGAGTTCCAAGGCTTGCAGGAAGCCCTGGACCCGCTCTTCCCGTCTGGCTGAGAGTTTGTGCAAGCGTGTCCGTCGGAGCTGGGGGTCCCCACTGGCCGGGAGCCCCTCTTGCAGCAGCTGCTCTGTCACTGCAGCCTGGTCCCTCTCCAGCTGCTGCCTCTTCCGCTCCTCTGCATACATGTCTCGGGCCTTCTGCTAGAGAAAAGCGGGAATTGGGGTGGGGAAATCATCTTTAGGCTTGGGTGGAATTGGGATGGAGGATGTGGGGGTGGGGCACAGCACTGGCCAAGTTAAGTGGAACAGTGGGGAGTCTGGACCACATTCGGAAAGATCTGGGAGTAGGTGTGTGATGGGTGGTGCCCACATTGTACAGGCAGGCTGCTGCCAGTTCTGGATCCATGTTGGTCTCTTTGGGGTGGGAGCTTCTATATTTCTCGAAATTCTTCTCAGGTGTGCACTTGGAAGGGAACCAGCAAATGTGGGTCTGACTTCTGGTTCTCCCACCACCTAGCTTTGTGGCTTTGGGCAAATCCTCTCCTAACCTCATTTCTTCATCTGTAAAGTGGGGGTTGTGCCTATCTTGAAGAATGGTTTTAAGGATTAGAGATAATATATGCAAAACCCCTCCAGCATATTAGCAGGCTCTCATACAGAAATAGCAATTTTACAAGTTATTATTGCCTATTCTCTCATGCAGGGAAGGTTCTATTCCTGCCTGGGGCATATCCATTGGGTCATTTCTTTTGGTTCCCCAGGCACTCTGAGGGTGTCATCTTCCCAACTTCCTAAGTTACCTTTCAGGGTTTGGATCCAGAACTGCCTCTCATGTGAGACCAGGCTGACCTGCTCAGCAAATAACCCTCCTGTGAACATTCTGAGAAGCAGGTTCAGCTTTCCTTAGCCACTTAACTGCATTCTGCCTCTAGAACAGGCATTAGGACCACAGTCCACCACTTCTGTTAGGAAAGGAGCCGTTGAAGGCTCAGTAGAGCCCTTGGGCTCCTGGAACCAGTTCTGACACCAGGTAAGTGACTACCCTCCCTGGCAGCACGTCTCATAATCAGTGTTTTCAGACAACCATGAACTCCTAGAGGAGAGAGACTGTGGCTCTTTTTTTCTGGCACTTGGGGCACCCTGTACCTGTTAACAGACTGACCGTATGCCCCCAGGAGGACATGGAGGATGTTCCTGGCACAGGAGGTGAAAATCTTTTTGGAGCAGAACCAAGGCTGTGCTGTGCCTCACTGATGCTGTCTGCTCCTGCTACTCTAACAGGCTGCAGAACCTTAGCCTCAGAGTTCCTCCTGCCAGTCCTATTCCATGTTGGAGAAACTCCCATCCTTCTGCCAACTTGGCATCTTATACCTTTGGTGCCCCTCCACCACATTCTACCTTGGACTGCTGTATTTGGGTACCTGTCTGTGTCCTACTCAGCCTGTGAACACCTGGACTGCTCTGTGTTCCTCCTTTAAGGAATATCTTACACATACACAAGCGCGTCATCTTTTGTCTCACTTGACGCTCTCAACAGAACTAGGAAGGGAGTGTCTATCTGCTGGAGACAGACATGGAGATTCAGAGTAGGGAAGTGATTTTCTAGCATCTTCTCAACAATAAAGATTTATTGCATGAATAAGACACAGTGGTAAAGAACCCGCCTGCCAATGCAGGAGACCCAGAAGATGTGGGTTTGATCCCTGGGCCTCGAAGATCCCCTGGAGGAGGAAATGTCAACCCACTCCACTATTCTTGCCTTGGAAATCCCATGGACAGAGGAGTCTGGAGGGCTATAGTCCATGGGGTCGCAAAAGATTCAGACATGACTCAGCAACTAAACAACATCACCACCACAAAGATGAAAAATCTAGAAAATACCCTCTCCAGGCTCTTAAATGATCCAAGACATTCAAGGGCACTCTTCTGCTATGACAACGAACTCACATGTGGTGCTATGAAGACTAAACAAGTTTGAGAAGTTGCTGCTAAGTGTCTCCATCTTGCTAGAAGGGCTTCTTCCTGGCCTTGGTCAGGGGGGACCCTGGGTCCCACATGTGGGACCTCATTGCGGGTTCAGAAATGCACAGGATATAGTCACCACAATCCATGTGCTCACCGGCACAGAGATGTACCCAAATGCCACAGTACTGGTGGAATCTGGTAAGGGTCATCAGGGAGGTAAGCGAAAGGGCTGAGTGATTCAGAGGAAAGAAACCGACTGATGAAGGTGAAGGGGCAGTGGAATCTCATGGGCAGGCAGAACCAGCGGGGAAGAGTCGGACAAAGGTAGAGTGTGTGGGGGAGGAGACTATCAGGCAGGGGAATAATGGGCAAAGACTCATGAAATCGGAGAGGGTGATTAGGCCAGTGAGTCTGCCTGGAACACTGGGGTTTGAGAAGTTTCTGTTCAAAGGAAACTCACTGAGGAAACTCACTGTCCTTACCTCACTGAGCCTATTTCTTCATCTGCAAAATGAGGATGATAGCATCCATCTCATTGGGTGGTTTGAGGAAAAAGGAGATAATGAATGCCCAACCTGGTGCCTGGCTATTAACAGGGAGCTGTTCTGTCACCACTGCTTGTGACTAGGGCTAAGTAGGCAAAGTTCTAGCCAAGCAGAAAGGATGAGGGCAGCCAGCCACAGAGGCAGGGATGCAGAGCTGGTTAAAACTGCTCTGGCTTTTTCCAAATGGCAGCCCAAGACTGAGTGCTGAGCAGGGAGGTGGCAGTCGGGCAGAGTCTGGCCCCTAATTTGCCAGGAATCAGCAATTCACTGGTAGGATGACAGAGTCAGCGGAGAGCGGAAAGCCCATCGGCTCTAGACTTCTCCTGTACAGACAAGGACTCCAAGCTAGGGAGGGACTTGGCCTAAGTCACACAGTGAGTTAAAGTTCCCTTGGTTTCCACTAAGGTGACTTCTTGAAAGATCTATAGGACATGTGTTGTGTGCCTCTGAATAAGCTGTACTTTCTAGGGGCGGAGTGGGGAACCAGTGACCTGCATCTGGATGCCTCTTTGCAACCAGATGGTCTGGATCTACCACCCCGTCTCAAAGGTGTTCTAAGTTCTTCTCAGGTACTCAGCTTCTGAAAATCTAGGCTAATGGAAGTCCTAATGGTCAGTTTCTCTCTCCCTAAGCATACTGTCTGCTCTCCCTGTATAAGGAGCAACTGGGGGAGGGTGTTAATAATTACCGTAGATACTTCTTATACAGACCTTATGTGGTTTTGGTGTAAGGGCTTCATGGAGCTCATTTTGAGAAATGGGGCTCTAAACTATTAATATAACCTCTCCTGGGCATTAAGACTCTCTGCTCTTGTTCTCTCCTCAGCAGAATTAGGGAACCAGACATAATGGCCCCTCCACAGTACATAAGTACTCAGGTCCGCTGACCTCACTAGGGCATGAAAAGAGGATACAGGTCTTGGGCTTCAAAACATTCACCAGCTAATAACAAGTCCTCTCCTGAGTCCCCATCTTCCGAGGCCGGTAGCAAGGGGGATGCATTTTGGAGGGTTGAGACAGCACCTCCTACTGGAAACATGATGTTCTGACGAACACCCAAAGTCTCCGTGCCAAGGGAACTGTCCTGGAGACGAGATGAGCAGGGTGCTAAGTGTCTGTGGATTTTCTGGAGACAGATGAAGACTAATGAAGAGCCCAGAGACACACATGATGAACGATGCTGACCACCAGTCTCTGAAAATGAACTGTGTTCCAGCACTGCACTCAGTTCTCTTGGTGTATTAGTTCACTGAAGGCTGATCACAAACTTGTGAGGCAGGTATTATCATTACTTCTCTCATTTTACAGGTGAGAAAAGTGATCCTCTGAAGGGTTAAGTAATCGTCTAGTCAGTCACATAGCTGGCAGGCAGCACCATGATTCAAAGTCAGTCATGTCTGAGAGAACAGCTGAAGTTTTCTGACTTCTCTTGAGGAGAAGACAGGGACTACCTTTAGAGTACTAGAAATAAAATGGTTGATCCAGCCTAGTGTTTGACCTCTGACAGATGCATCAAAGGAAGTTTAGTGGGACCATGTCTCTTCTCCCTCTGCATCATTACAGGTCAGGTGGACCACTGTCACTCCTCATCTCTGAGGAAAGACCCCCGGGGACCTTCCATCCATGCAGCTTGTAACTGAGGATCAGTGGCTCTGTACTGCTGCCCACCCCTGCCCCACCCTGATTTTTTCTGTCCTACTGTGTCATCGTCAAGATTGCTTCCCTTTGCCAGCCCCCATTCTCTAAGATGAAGGGTGACCACCTGGAAACTGTCATGGTCCCTTCAGATACTAAGGTCTAGCCTCTAACAATTTATAGCTGAGTCCCTGCTTCCATTAGCATCCAGCACCTGCCCTCATCCCAGTGAGCTAGGTCAAGAACCCAGCTCCCTGCCCTGGTTTCCTGCGGGGTATCGGGACATACTGGGCTGGACTTAGAGACAGAGAAGCTCAAACTGAACAATAAGAATTTGGGAGATGGGGCAAGAACACAGACGTGGAGGCAGAAAACCAAAGGGGATGAGAACAAGGAACTGAATAGTCCAATTTGGTGAGGATACAGGACACATACAGGGAGATATTAGAAAGATCCGCTCTCTAGTCTGACAGCATACTGGCCAGGATGTTGTTAGTCTGGACTATACTGCTAGTGCTTCTGCTGAGGTGCTAAGATTTCTAGAAAGAGTATGAATGCTCGTGGGCAGAGGAAATGTGGCCAAAACCCTCATGGGGTCTGCTGAGAAAGAGTTCAGGACAGTCAATATCTGTTATTACTTTGGTCTCCTCACTCTAAAATTGGAGGCAATTAAGAGTAGTATATACCTTAAAGAACTACGTAGAATCTAAGTAAAAGGATGCCTGACACATGGTAAGAACTCAATAAATGTCTGGAATTATGATTCTTAGGTACCAAATGAAACTCTTAATGGTTGTCCTTAAACATGTTCCACCCCATTCTAGAAAACAGCAGAACCATCCACCCAACTGCCCAGGCCAAAACCTAAATGTTTTGGTTCCTAGTAACATTAATATTCATACTCATTGGTTTTCTCCTACAAGAGGCATGAAAGAGTTTCAGAATTACATCATTAACATTACCACTGATAAATCTCTTAAATAATGTTTAAGTTTGCTTTCCAGTTTGTAGTATTCTTATAATATATACCACTGAAGATGTATAGTCAGAGAACTATGTTCAGGTAACTTGAATTAATCCCTTTCTCTGAAGGCTGTATTATCAGCTTAGTTCCATTTGTTTCTGTTTTACTGTTTGTTTTTCCTCCACCTTAGTCCACTCGGCCCTCCCCTTCTCTGCAGCCACCACCCCACCTCGAGGCCACATCTTCCCACTGGGACAACTGTAGGAATTTGGTCTCTGACTCCTGCCCTGTGAAAATCCTGAGTAACTTATATAAAATGTAAATTAGATCCTGCCATTCCCTCTGGTCAGAAGTCTTCAGATGTGTCACCACAGCCTACAAGGCCGGGAATGATCAGAGGCCTGACTCCTACCCAGCTTCATCTCACATCCTTCTTCATGCATGCTGGCCTCTTTGTTCTTCTAAGACTTAAACTATGAAACTTTAGTATCCTTCCACTTTCTGCTCCCTCTACAGAGAATAATTCTTTTCCCTTAGATTTTTACATGTCTGGCTACTTATCTTTAATATCATGTCTTATCAAGACCTTCCCTGACTGTTCCACTCAGCACCTCTTATTGCTTCATTACTTTCTAGGACAACACTCTATTTCTTCACTGCCTTATTGCATATATTTGTTTACTTATTATCTGTCTCCTCAAGTAAAAATATAATCTCCATGAAGGTAAGGATCTTGTCTGGCGAACTAACTGCTTAAATCTCTTGTGTGGAACACTAACAGTGCCTGACTCAGACCAAGTACTCAATAATAGACATTTATGGAATGAGACATTTACTTTGACCACCTGATGCGAAGAGCTGACTCATTTGAAAAGATCCTGATGGTGGAAAACATTGAAGGTGGGAGAAGAAAGGGATGACAGAGGATGAGATGGTTGGATGGCATCACTGACTCAATGGACATGAGTTTGAATAAACTCCAGGAGTTGGTGATGGACAGGGAGGCCTGGTGTGCTGCAGTCCATGGGGTTGCAAAGAGTCAGACACGACTAAGCAACTGAACTGAACTGAACGGAATGAGTGAAACTTGAGGTAATTCCTCTGATAGCCATGTGGGAAAGTATCTGAGAAATCTGAATTACTAAAAGACTTGTGAATTTCCTAATTAGAAACAAGAATGTGAAAGTGAAAGTCACTCAGTCGCGTCTGACTCTGTGACCCCGTGGACTGTAGCCTGCCAGGCTCCTCTGTCCATGGAATTCTCCAGGCCAGAATACTGGAATGGGTAGCCATTCCCTTCTCCAGGGATCTTCCCAACCGAGGGATCGAACCCAGGCCTCCCATGTTGCAGGTAGACTCTTCACTGGCTGAGCCACTAGGGAAGCCCAGAGACAAGAATAGTCACACACAAAAGTTCATGCACCAAGATCCTCTGGGCTTCATGAAAGGCCAGTCTACTCTTTCTTTACAGACATAATTCTAAAAAGCTTGGTTGACTGGTTTTCTTACCTGTAGCTCATTTAAAACTGGAAACAGGAAGAGAAGGGAAGAAGGAATGCTGTCAAAATTAGCCACTGACCATACACAAGAAATCCCAAAGTCAAGTATTTGTGGACCATCTAGCTTAGAGAAAGTCCCATCTTTCAAGGTCATCCTGCACAATGAAGTGCTTCAAGATGGGAGTCACTACTAATTATCAGCATCAGCAGAATGTGATTATTCCGATCATCATAATTATTAGCAAGTGCCTAATACACAGTAGGTATCAATGAATTACACACAAGACATGTTTCAGAAAGTTCTCTATCAAAAAAGGATAAAGAAGGTTAGTTCTTAAAGGGAGATTTGGTCATATGGAAAAACTGATATTCATTTTTCACTGACAGTGGATAATTGAGACTGCTGTTTTTCCTTTCAATTGAACTCAACTTCCCCTCTCAGTTTCCTCATATTTTGAGACTAAATGATCAAACACACAATCTGACTGACTTATTCCAGGAGTTCTGGACTTGGGATTCATGGAAAGATTTCACGAGTTATGTGAACCTCCAGAAGTAGTTTATGTGCTTCAATGATTCGTGCGATTCTATGCAAAATGCCGTGTGTTACAGTGACCTTTGCAGTTTTTCTAGGGAGATGGTCTACGGCTTTCATCAGTTTCTCCAAGGAGTCCCCGATGCCAGAGGAACTGAGAAGCCTTGACTTATTTACTACTGGCCATTGTCTCTCCAGATTCAAGAAGCATCACCAGCTTTGGGCTTAAAATTCTGTGACTTTGAAACAGTTACTGTTTATCCCTCTGTTTCCATATCTGAACAATGAGGACACCAAAGCTGCTGGATTATTGGAAGGGTTAAGTAAGCAAACATATGAAAACACCAGAGTGCCTTAGCAGACCCTCAGTAAGTTAGCTGCCACCACCACACACAGTCATTATGACGAAGAGTCCTAATGAGATATAGGTGAATCTCCCTCCTAATGAAACCTGTTTCAGGACCTAGTGATCAAAACTGAAATCAGAACTTCAAGTCCTGGCAGAACACAGCTTTATACAATGGAAAGATAGTGCTACTTTGTTTTTAATCCCTCTGATAGAGTCTTGGATTTTACATACTTCCACTTCTACAATCTTTGGTTAGGCCAGTTCCTTCAGGGAATAATGGCCAATCTCTCTGAGAAGCCTTTCCTAAATTTCCACAATGAAGAGATTAAAGACTTGTAACTTGAATCTCGGTTTGGTCTTTTATTGGTTCCGGTCCTTAACTAAGTAATTTTGATTTACTTATTTGCGCAAGTGGGGCTAGTATTACCTAGCTCGTTGGGTTCTTGGGAACATTAAATGAGACAGTGCATATACACTGTTCACAGTGCCTGACACATAGTAAATACTCGGTAAATGGTAGCTACTCATCATTATCATTAACATGTCATTAGCAAGTGCCTGACATACAGTCATGCGGGTCAATCAATGCTAACATTTTCTTCCATCCCATCCAGTCAGGCCAGTCCTGAACTCTTACCTGAAGCATGCTATGGTTCATCTGGAACTGCAGGATGGCCTCACAGAGGTTCCAAAATGTGTATTCTGGCCACAGAACAGGCTGGAACACCAGGCAGGAGTGGGAGGTCTGGGAAAGGTGGGGAAGGAAGAGAATTTGGTTTAGTGACGTGTCACTGGAACATATTCCTGGTCAGCTTCCAAAGAAGGAGCAGGCTGATCACGTCCAGAGATGAGGTGCCCAGGCATCCTGAGCTGCAGCTGCTCTTGCCAGCCCGGATTCACTCACTGATGGGGGAAGGGTCATCTGAGGCAGTAAGATCACCTGCCTGTAGCAAGGCAGAACTAAAGCGAGACGAGATCAACATTTCCACCAGGAGTTTTCTAAGAGCCAATTTTAGGACTATGAAATAACATCTGGATTATGTTATTGGCTCTTGGCCCTCAGAGGTCATCTGACAGACACAGTGTCTGATAAAAGTTAGCAATGAATAAATGGTAGCTGCCATTGTTATTTTTAAGTAGCAGAATATGGCACAATGGTTAAGAGCATGGGCTCTGGGGCCAGACTGCCTGGCTTTGAATTCTGGCTCCACCATTTACCATTTATTTGACCTGAGGCAAGTTACTTAACTTCTCTGGGTGTATAAGAGTATCTTGTTTTATAAGGTACTGTGAAAATTTAACAAGATAACATACATATAACAAAGCACAGAGCTGAGTGAACTTTTAATAATCATCACTGATTTTGGAACATTCTTGATAGTTGCTGTTGATACCTTAGTGGCGAGGAATTCAATGCCTAAAGGGGGATACGTTAGCTGTCAAAAGAGCTTATTAAGCTAAACCAGTGTCACCTTCCCTGGAACTCCTACCAAGGTCTTAGGTCTTCTCTCTGGAACAACTTTATTTCTTTTCCAAAGTGACATTTTTCACATACTGGAAGGCTAGATTAGAGCTGCCTGTTATCTGCTCCCAAGGTTGTAATGACTTGTTCAGTTTGTCCTTGCTAACAAACTGTAAGTTTTAAGACAGCAGGGATTATTTCTAACTTGGTCACTGCCATATTCCCAGCACCAAGGAGGAACTCAATTTTTTTTTTTCCTTCAAGATAATAAACTATTTTCCAGACCATCATCCTTCACTTATGCCTTAGAGGACATGAGTCTCAGATTCCTGGCTGTATTCTGGTTGGCCTCTTCTGCTAAATCCTCTAGTTTACCAGTGCAATCTCTTAAAACCCAATGCCCGGAAGTAAATTCTTCCGACATCATCTGACCAACAGAGTGGGCCATAAAACCATAAGCTGCACGTTACACTTCTTTAGTATAGCCAAAGACTAAAAGTATCTTCAGTAGCTGAATCTTGTTAGTTTGCTTTTGAGACTACGGGCCATTAAAATTTCTGGAATTTACCATGTGAATTGTTTCTAACTCATATCTCTCCCTCCAGCGTCTCCTTGAACAAGATTTCCTCCAGCCAAGTGCTACCAGGGGCCAAGGGTACAGATGATTGGAGATTCTCAAGCAAAGACAAACTTATTTGAGTATGAGCTTTCAGATAACAACCTACACTGGGATAACTGAGCTGAGAGGCAATGGCAGGCCCCAAAGAAAGAGTCTGCACATAGTTTATATCCCTTGTGGACTGTGCTTGTGTAAATGCTGCCCTTTATTCTGAAAGAGAAATCAGTAAATTCAAGGCAAGGTTCTAGCCTAGAGGTGCAGGTTACATGGCAGGTTACCAAGGCAGGAGCTTGTGCTCAGGACATAAGGCAGAAGTCCAGTTCTTGAACACAGGCACAAGTAAAGCTTCCACTACAGCAGGATAGCCTTGATTTTTCCTCTGGGCATTCCAGGCAGCAAGAACCACACAGACTCACAAAGTTAGGGGTGGATGAGGAAGGGATAACAAATGTTACCAGGCACAGCCTGGAGACAGCACTCCGGATTTTAGCTCCCCCTCCAATCTGTCCTGTGGATGCACCCACAGTTTTCAGTTCTGACAGTGATAGTGGCTGGAAATGACCTACCTGCCAGAGGAGGAAGTCGCTGAGCCTCACTTCCCCAGAAGTCCGTATCAAGATGTCAGGGTGAGGAGAGTGGTTGGTATAGAGGCACTTATCGAGCAGAGACTCAGAGACATCGCTAAGGTGAGTGGGGAAGAGACAAAGATAAGCACATATCTATCTCCTCTTGAATTACTCTCATGATGAACTTCCTTACATAAAGTTTCCCAGTTTGTAAAACACCATCAAATACATTCCTTCTACCTGGCATGCAGAAGGCCCTCAATAAATGCTTGATAAATTAATGAATGACTTTAATCTTCACAACTACATAAGGTATTTCTATCCTTACTTTATAGATAAGGAAACTGAAGCTGAGAGAAGATGAAAATTTCGCCTATAGTCATTTAGTTGCAGGCCTAAAATAGACGCACCCATCAGAGCATGTGTTGTCCTTCATGTAAAACATCTTTTTTTTAAAAAATGCATACACCAGGGACTTCCTGGGTGGTCCAGTGACTAAGACTCCGTGCTCTCAATGCAGGGGCCTGGGTTTAATCCCTGGTCAGGGAACTAGATGCTACATGCCGAAACTAAAGATCCCGCATGCCACAGCAAAGACCAAAGACCCCACATGCCACACATAAGACCCAGCATAGCCAAATGTTAGGTTGGAACAAAAGTAATTGCAGTTTCAGACCGTGAATTTTAAATCATTACAACTAGGATCAAACACATTTTTACTAATCAAAATAGGAACCATGACAATCAACATATTTTTGCCAATGAGAAATAAGTTTGTTTATTCCTGTAGCATAAAAATCCGTGCTTCAGGATTCGACAAATTTCTTGGAAAACATTTTCTGCCTCCTGCTCATTGTGGAAGCATTTTCCCTGCAAAAAGTTGTTGAAATGCTTGAACAAGTGGTAATTGGTTGGCGAGAGGTGAGGTGAATATGGCGGATGAGGCAAAACTTTGTAGCCCAAGTTGTTCAACTTTTGAAGCGTTGGTTGTGTGATATGTGGTCGGGCATGGTTGAGAAGAAACGGGCTCTTTCTATTGACCAATGCTGCTTGCAGGAGTTACAGTCATCAGTGCATCCCATCGACTTGCTGCACATACTTCTCAGATGTAATGGTTTCACTGGGATTCAGAACGCTGTAGTGGGTCAGACACCACCAAACAGTGGCCATGACCTTTCTGTGGTGCAGGTCTGCCTTTGGGAAGTGCTCTGACGCTTCTTCCTGGTCCAACCACTGAGCTGGTTGTCACCGGCTGTCATATAAAATCATTTTTCGTTGCATGTCACAATCCAATCGAGAAATGTCTTCTTGTGGTTGGGCAGAAGTAAGAGAAGATGACACTTCAAAACAATAATTTTTTTGGTTTTCAGTCAGTACATGAGGCACCCACTTATCAAGCTTTTTCTCCTTTCCAACTTGCTTCAAATGTTGAAGCAACCATAGAATGGTTGATGTTGGGTTCTTTAGCAACTTCTCATGTAGTTTTTTTTTTTTTTCATTTATTTTTATTAGTTGGAGGCTAATTACTTTACAATATTGCAGTGGTTTTCATGTAGTTAAGAGGATCAGCTTTGATGACTATTCTTAATTGGTCATTGTCAACTTCCGGTGGCCGGCCACTAAGCACCTCAGTGTCAAGGCTCTCGTCTCCTTTGTGAAACTTTTTGCACCACTAGTGCACTGTACATTTGTTAGCAGTTCCTGGGCCAAATGCATTGTGGATGTTGCCAGTTGTCTCTGCTGCTTTACAACCCATTTTGAACTCAAATTAAAAAATTGCTTGAATTTGCTTTTTGTCTAACATCATTTCTATAGTCTAAAATAAATATAAACAGTAAGGAATGTCATTAGCAAAAAACCATAAAGCTAGAAATGTGCATTAAAATGATGTATAGCATAACCACATTTATTTAAGAATATATTCCAAAAAAAAAGAAAAGAAAAAGAATATATTCCAATATCAAACAACAAAGTTCAACAATGCAAAACTGCAATTTTTTTTTACTTTTGCCCCAACCTAATAAATAATAAATATTTTTTAAAAAATAAATAAAATGCATATACCCTAGGACCTTTCAATTTGATTAAATACTATGCCACTGTTGTTAATAAAGATAAACCTAAGTGCACTGATTTGGAAAGATGTCTAAGACGTAACATTAAATGAAAAAAAGGAAATTTCAGAAAAAGAGTGTGGAAAACACATACACACACACACAAACACTCACACCTGTGAATACATATAAAATAGATACATGCAAACAAAATCTAAAAAGGCATACACCATACTATTAACAGTGATTATTTCTGTTAGGTTGGATAAGAAGGAAAGACTATCTCTTTTTACTTTATATACTTTGGCTATTGTCTGAATTTATTATAGATAAAAATTTTAAAACCTTAAATTTAAGTCAAATGGACAGTGAAACACTGCAAAAAATCCACTTAAGATATGAAAAACAGCAAAATGATCAGCTCTCTTATATTTGATAAGAGCTACTTTTCCAAGCAGACAGATACTCAGAAAGGAGATGGAATGAAGGAAGAATGGGGACTGGGAGTACTAAAGATAATCTTAAGTTAAACTTTTCTGTCCAATGAAAGAGGGTATTTGCAAGACTGGTGTCTGGTGGTTCTAGGAATGCTGTTTACCTATCCTATGAAGCACCAAGAGGCAGAATTTAGAATCTCCAAGTGGTAAGAGTTGCATCTCGGGAAGAGGTTAGAAGACAAAATTTCTTGGTGGGAACATTCTTCTGGGAGTGTAGTCAAAAAAAGCAGAAAGGCTTTCCTGGTGGCTCAGGGGTAAAGAATCTGCTTGCCAATGCAGGAGACACGGGTTCGATCCCTGATCTGGGAAGATCCCACATGCCACGGAGCAACTAAGCCTGTGTCCCACAACTACTGAGCCTGTGCTCTAGAGCCCCTGTTCCACAACAAGAAAAGCCACCACAATGAGCAGCCCTTGCTCTCCAAACCTAGAGAAAAGCCTGTGCAGCAACAAAGAGCCAAAAACAAATGAATAAAAAATTAAAAAAAAAAAAAAAAGGGCAGAGCAATCTGGGCTGAGTGTTCAGAACAAGGATTTACACTTACTAGTTGTGTATCTTGGGTAAGTTCATCTCTCAGTCATCATTTTGCAAACCACAGCTTTATTTTCTATACCATCATATGAGAAATAATATTCACTTATGTCTGGGCAATAGGAAGGGCTCTGGTTCAGATTTCCCTGATAATCTGAGTCTTGTCCTTTTTAAAAATATATTTATTTATTTCTGACTGTGTTGGGTGGGTCTTCACTGCTGCTCACGGGCTTTTTTTTAGTTGTGGCAAGCGGGGGCTACTCTCTAGCTGCGGTGTGCAGGCATCTCGCCGCAGTGGCTTCTGTTGGTGCAGAGGATGGGCTCTAGGCATGCGGGCTTCAGTAGCTGCGGCATTCAGGCTCAGGTTTTGACATAGGGACTTAGCTGCCTCGGGCCGTGTGGGATCTTCCCCGACCAGGGATCAAACCTATGTCCCCTGCACTGGCAGGTGGATTCTTAACCACTGGACCACCAGGAAAGCCCCTGAGTCTTGTCCTGACAGCATGATTTAATTCTCTAATTAAGAATGTGAAACATGGGAGCTCCCTGGTGGTCTGAAAGTGAAAGTCGCTCAGTTGTGTCTGACTCTTTGTGATCCCATGGACTATACAATCCATGGAAATCTCCAGGCCAAAATACTGGAGTGGGTAGCCTTTCCCTTCTCCAGGGGATCTTCCGAACCAGAGATCGAACCCAGGTCTCCCACATTGCAGATGGATTCTTTACCAACTGAGCCACAAGGGAAGCCCAAGAATACTGGAGTGTGTAGTTGATCCCTTCTCTAGCAGATCTTCCCAACCCAGGAACTGAACTGGGGTCTCCTGCATTGCGAGCAGATTCTTTACCAACTGGGCTATCAGGGAAGCCCCCCTGATGGTCTAGTGGTTAGGATTCAGCCCTTTTACTGCTGTGGGCATGGTTCAATCCCTGGTTGGGGAACTGAGATTCTGCACGCTGTATGGTGTGGCCAAAATTTAAAAAAAAAAAAAAAAAGGGCGAAATCTGTACAATCAACAGTTTTTTAGCTCTCTTTGTTTTTGAAATAGGCACATTTGTACTGTCTACTTATAGGTTACTATGAGGGTCAACTCAAGTGAAATACAGATTTGAGTGTACCTTAGGAACTATAAAATGCTACTACATACATAAGAAGAATAAAGATTATTTCCAGACCTACCACCATGCTGGGGGACTTGGGATCCCCACATAACCCCTCTGAATTTCAAATGTGTCTGCAAAAAGTTTGTTCTGTCTAATGCATGCAGTGGGCAGAATTCTTTTCAAAAAGAAGAGAAATCTAAGGAGGTATAGACAAAAGTGACAAAATGAAAATATCTGTGCTTTGGCCAAGAAAAATCTACCAACTATATGGTATTAGCTGGCCACATGAAAAATTTTAAGAAATAATTTCTACTAAGAAAAGTAAAATACCAATTTTCACCTATAAAATTAGAATAGTTTACATTAAATAAAAATCTTGGCAAAAATAAGGTTAAACAGACATATCCAGACCCAGATCCTGAGGAAACAATCCAAAATGCAGACAAGAATTAAGGCCACAGATTTCATTGTAGCCCTATTTGTAATAATGATAAATTAGAAACAGCCTATAGAACCAACAGCAAAATGATTAAGTAAATTAAAGCAAGATATATTCTGTAGCCATTAAAAATTATAATATGAAGAATTATTAAGGAGACTTCCCTGATGGTCCAGTGGTTAAGAGTCCACCTTCCAAAAAAAAAAAAAATCCACCTTCCAATACAGGGGAGGAGGGATCAATCCCTGGTCAGGGAACTAAGGTCCCACATGCCTCAAGGTTACTGAGCTCGTGAGCCACAACTACTGAACCCATGTACCACAGGGAAAGATCCCACATGCTGCAACTAAGACTTGATATAGCCAAAAATAAATAAATAAATAAAGGGAAGAATTATTAAAACATGGGCCATGGAAGAGTGCTCATATTACAACATTATGCAAACAAAGCATGATTAAGGTTGTTTACAGTGTAATTTCTTCTGTTAAAAAC